TTTCTCTTTGAAAAATCATAGAAACAAAGTGATTTCACAAATTTTATGATCTTGTGTAAGTATATGAGTTCAAAGCTTATTTAGTCTGTTATAGTGTCGAGGCTATGCCAAAATCTAATGGAAAAAGAATGACAGAAGTTCTGAAAACTAGTTTATAATGTTCAGAGCACTATTCTAGTGAAAAAGAAAGACATTAAAATGCAAAAAAAACCAAAACAGTAGGAAGCTTCTGAAGAAGGAAGAAATATTGGAACCTAACCCACCAGAAGATGTAACCAGGAAGGTATAAGTCACAATTTAAAAGTGCAGACAAAATATAATTACTATTATACGTTGACCAGATGAAAAAACATCAGCCAAAAAAGAGTCCAATGCTTGAAGAGCAGCTCAGACTCAAGTATCTCCACTTTAGCAGTCCAGGGTCTCTCTGTTACACTGCAGCTGAGCCGAAGAACTAATATTCCTGCTAAAATACCTGTAAGTCTAGAATACAATTAACACTACGGTGTATAAGAGGTATGACTGTCTGCACTCTCAGACATACTGAGACAGACTTGTTACAAGTCAGAAGACAGAAAGGCTTGGGTGAAATACTACTCCCAGTTACCGAGCCGTAGGACAGAGTTACTCTGCAGCTATTCTGAATGGTGCAGTGGGAGTAGAATTTGGCCTGGTGTTTTCAAAGGTTAGTTAAACAAAATATGACCTTTTTCAGGCTAGGGGAACAAAAGAGGTCAGCTCATTCTCCAGAGCTACAAAGGGTCTTTCAAGGGTACCAAAGAAATAAAAATAAAAGCCATGATCACACTTCCTAGATGCCCACATAGAAACAACACTTACATGTTAAGGTATCACGCAGTGGGAAAAACCCTGGGAGCTTCCCAGGCAATGGGAGTCCTGCCAGTAATTCACCCACTAAGGGAGAGGTGTACAGATTCAAACAATTTTGTCCAAGGTCCCAGAGCAACATAGGGATCTGACCCAAAGTCTCCTACCTTTCAGCATCTTGCAGTAAATAACAGTGCTTCATAAGGGACCTTGCAGAATTGCAGAGAGTCTGCTGAATCTGATTGCACTTTAATAACTCCTTGGTCAAAGGAAACCTAATGCAGCTTCCCCATTCCTTTGTGGGTAAGAGTTTATATAGGTTGTTCTGCTCGCAAGGACGTTCTGGTACAAGCTGTCCATTGTGTACAAACAGATCAGTTACGCAAACTTCACTGATCTCATTCTCTGCTGCAGGTTGGAATTGCTACTCCAGTCTCTTTGAGAGAGAAAACGACTCTACTCCAACGTCTTCACCAAGCTGCAATGAGATTTACAAATCTGATCACAAAGTGCCTTGGAATCATGTGTGCAACTCTTTCCTCTTCTGCTTCTTCACACACGCATCAAGAATCTGTAGCGTTCATATGGTGATGGGATAAAGCACGGATTTTCACTCTGCTACGTCAGACCCGATGCTTAGGGCGAGACTGCTAGCAGCCAAAAATGAACTCAAAGAAGGACCTGGATCCTGAAGAGAGGCAATTGCTGTCCAATATCTCTCTTGCTTTGAAAGGAAAGTAAGTTTCTTTTCAGGCTGCAAATTATTCCCATCTCTCATTCTTTACCACAGAGGTTAGAATTTTTATTTGTTCTTTATCTTCCTTGAGGACCTCATGCTCTAGGAATGTAATATATTCCACTATAAGTGCTTTTGTCACACTCTAAACAACTTCTCAGAACAAGAGCATCTACTTTTTCATGCTTTGTGGATCATGCCTCATACTATCAGAGAGAAAAATATCTACTTGGAAACAGAAAAGATGTTCTTTTAAAGATGTTCAAAAGGAAATAAAATTGTCATATCTGAAAGAGACAGGTGCTAGAAATCTCTCTTTGCTTATATGCAATAGGAATGAACATGTTAGCATGCCCAAATATTAATGAATGTTAAAGTGTTCAGAGGAAATCTCAATTGTTCATGTTTTGATGATTTTAAATGAAAGACATCCTTCCCTGTTCTCTTTAGATCACCATTTGTCACAGCAATTAATGAGGAAGTAATTATAATGTAGTTTGTCAGAATAATCTGACAGGCAAAGAATTATGTTCTCAATCCTAAAGGAATACATAGTTCTAGTTTTCCAACAGATTGGGTATGTGTGGGTGGCATAGCAGAGGGTATTTGCCTTTAAGCAGGATAAAAACTTTGGCACTTTCTATTTCAAGCAAAAATGGACAGAGGCGTTATCTAATTCTCTAAAATATGTTACATGAAGGCATTTTATCTTAACAACGGATTAGTAAGTCTGATTTTAACACTTCCTTCATATAAAAGCTACTTCTTTTTATAGTGACTTTGAGATTTGCAGTTCAGTTGCAGTAGTTAAGTAGTCACTCGCTGTTTCTTTAAGATGGTGAGTAAACAACTTAGTCATTCAGTCATATTTACTGAGAGAAAAATAACTGTCCTCAAAATAAATATAAACTACGAGATGAGGCATCAAAGGATGGAAAAGCAAAGAAACAAGGAAAAATAAAGACAGTAAATTAAAATCCCCGCTGACGTTCAGGGGCGTATGATTGTTGACTCCAATAGCAGCTACAAGAGCCCCACATTTGTCACTGGCTTTTTTGTTTGTTTTGTATTTTTTTTTCGGATAGAAGTTGACCACAACTTTACCCAACTAACAGCATCTGCCTCTCTAACAGATAGAGCAGAGGATTCAGCCCACAGTATTCCTTGATACTTTTTTCCAGCACTTCCAACAGATATTGTTCTTAAAGGTGATCTTCTGAAGAAAGGTTTGATATTGTACACTTGCCATTTCGAGAATGTCTTGAAAACTAGAACTTGCTGTCCATTTGTACGTTTATGTGACTTTATGTTTGGTTTTAGCAGACTTTCTGCTTTTGTACTTGCAGCATTGAAAACCTCCATTAATTTCAATGCTACATCCACCTCACATAAAATGAAAACCAGAGACTTTTTGTGTGTTTCTGTTTCATTGATGTGATCATAGGGAAAAAAAAAAAAAAAGCAGCAAGGATTCTGGTATATTGGATTCTCATATTGTTGGGAAGGGAAAAAAAAAGTGACCATTCATATTTCCTACGTCAGTGAGTCCTACCAGAAAAAAACCCCAGTGTCATGCCTAAGAACAGCCAAGAGTTTATCTTGCCTGTAGGTTATGCGGAACACAAGCAGGTCTTTAAGTTGAGCATATCACAAATTCTTTTTGGATTAGGAGATTCTGCCTTCAGTAACGTGTTGTCATGTGGTCCTTGAAAGAGCAGGAGTATCCAACTGCACCCGTCCACAGTTTTAACAGACGTGAAACTACAAGGACTCTATTCTTCATTTTCTTATACATTAAGGAAATTCTGAAAAGGAAGTGTCTGCTTTTCTCTTTACATGAGATCTATGCCTTCTGTACTTTGTGACTTATAAAGAGTCTCCTTCAGAAACACTATTTTCTATATAGAGGTATCTTTTGAAGTCTCCTCATTAACCTCATATAAATGCAATAGAGGAAGCTGGACGAAAAGGAAAACAAAATAAATTGCCTGACAGGAAGAAAAAAGGCAAATAAAAAATAAAGTGAATTGGAGCTATTCAACATATCTTTTTACTCTAAGAGCTCACTCAAATCTGCATCATAAAGTCAGCAACACAACTCTGACTTTCCCTTTGCTTTTCACACAGAAAACCTTGGTTAGTTTACTTGTGGTTTTGCAGAGATTTTGCAAAATAATCAGTTAATCAGCAAGAAACAATGCAATGAAACTGGTCAGAGTAACAAATGCAATCCTGTGGCTCTAACAGTAAGTTCTGCCGTGTTACTTGTAGCTACCTACCCGTTCCTGACTTTGCCTTTCCACATTTCTGCAATACCGTAGCTAAAATCTCATTTTTAGGTTTTGTTTTGTTTTGGTTTGGTTTATTTGGTTTTGTTGAAACTCAAGGGGTGGTGGTGACTGATGCCATTAGCAGGAATGTTTACATTATCAGTAGCACTTTAGCCAGGCTTGGTGGGAGCAATGGGACATGAGAGCAGGACAGAGGAGCCAACCCAGAGATGAGAGGCTCTGTGCCAAGGGAAGGGACTGATGTGAGAGGAGGTCTCGGGGCAGAAAAAGCAAAGCACAGCCTGATGCAAGTATCCTTGGAGGTTTGCTGCAGTCCTGTAGCTTTGCGAGACTCCTTCTGTGGTGTCCATGAATGTACGTTACAGTGTTATTTCCGTCTTCCTCCCTCTGGCTTCTGTACCCTCCTATCCTCCCCTGCTTGCCCTCGCCCCTTGCTATCACCACCCACTCTTGTTTTCCTCCTTACTACCTCTCTTCTCTTAATTAATCCGGGAAAGAAAAAGAGAAGCTGCTCCTGCCAGCTTAGCTTTGCTTTGCTGTCCAGAGGTGGTAGGAGTTCAAAGAACAAGGTTACTACTCCTGCACCTGCTGCTTGTTCTTTGATGCCCTGTTGCGTGAAACAGTTTCCTTCAGAAGTCCAACAACGTACTAATTAACAAAGGAAAAGACAGGGAGAAACAAGCCAGAGACTGTGGGAGGAATGAGGCGAGTGACAACGGAGATGTCAGAGGGAAGCAGAGGGAAGAAGCAATGACAAAGGGGGAACTGGGAAAGAAACGCACAGAAAAAGGAGAGGGACAAACGATAAAGGAGAGGAAAATAAAGCAGGCGGCGAAAGAGAGGGAACTGGAATAAAGAGCTACAGAAAAAAGAAATGTGGCAATGATTTAAAGTCCCCTTTAGATTACAGTACACAGTCCTTCCAGAGCAACTCTGAGGACAGCGAGTACCTCAGATCAGGTCAGAGAGTTGTGCGCGGCACCAGTTCTCCCCCGCTGAACCACCGGGTGCAGCAAGCAAATTCACTGGGGAGGGCGCTCCCACCTGGAACAACAGCACAGCGCTCTTCAGGCTGGACTTGAGGCCTAACCTCTTTTATTTAAAGAGAGTAGGTGGCTTAAAAACGCAATCCCTACGAGCCTGGCATGGCTCTCACCGTTCGCAGAGACAGGACAATGCACCGTGAACAGGAGAGGCGTCCCACCATCTCGGGTCAGAGCACACACCAGAACAGTCACAAGCAAACGCTGCGATGTGAAGGCACGGACTCCAGAGCGCGCGGCTGGTGGGGGGTCCGGCGCCTGACAGTGAAGCCACAGCAGTGGAGGAGGAGTGACTACTGGCGTGATACTCCTTGAAACAGAGGAGAGGCCGGTGGTAAGACCTTCTTCAGTGTGTGGTAGGACGCCAGCTGCACAAAACGGGGAGTTTACTGACTGCTTCTAAGGGCGGTCCAGTACTGCTGAGACCAGTACTGAAGGTGGCGGCGCCAATGAGACGGAAAGACGCAGCAATCTCAAGATTAAGGCAGCTGATTTCTGCCTGAAAAACAAGATTCTAACAGTGCCCACGTGAGATGATGAAAATGTTACTTGAACTGAATTTTTCATAGGCGGCTGCTGACTGTGCGTGCTTTGGTTTTAGCGCCTGCCCCAGAAGTCTGATAGGCTGAAGTCCCTTGCACTCACCACTGCAGCCAGCCGCAGCGCTTTGAGCACACCAGGTGCTGCAGAACACATGCTGAAACGTCATGGGCACCTCAGCCTAGAAACTGGGCACTTCCGCTTAACATCTGCCACAGCTCTTCACCTGTTAAAGGCGACCGCGTACGGAACAGCTGGACACAGCAGACCACGGAACGGGTATTTGTTAGGCAAGTAATGTACACCTGATGCAATGAACTAATCGAGGGTCCTGGGGCTTTCTGTCTCCTTGTCTTATCTCAAACCCCTCAAGCGAGCTAACCAAGCTTGTCACGCCGTGCCGCACAGGGATCTCTGACCTCGGACAGGATAGCCGGCCCCTGCAGCGCTGCTGCACGGGCTCAAGGGGGATGTGTAGGCAAGCCCACCCCTTCAACGTCATTTCCAAGATTTCCAGCGTGGTGCTGCACAGCATTAACTCTGATTACCTGGCTGCTACTGTGGAACAGTCATCTGAAAACAAGCAGGCTACCCAAGTCATCTGCAGAGCGAGCTGGCACAAGGAGGCATGGCCTTGCTGAAACCGGTGGGTTTCCTCTTGCGTTTGCCAGTATTAAATTTGGTCCGTTTTCTCAATTTCAGGACTGTTAGACAGAAGCAATGAGTCATCCATCCCGCTAAATCCAATTTCTATGTGCGAGACACATGCAAAACCAGTAACTAGGTAAAAAAACACGTGTAAGCATACTAGTATGAAAGCAAACTATTACTCAGGGAAATTCTGTGTTATTCTGTAGAACTCTCTTATTTGGGAAACGAAACCTGTTACAAGCGGCTCATGACAGAAATACTGTCACACTCTTCTACTGTGACAGTAAAAGATGCTGCTTTTTTCCTTTACAGCAAAGACAGTGTCACGGACTATCTCACAACCACCCTGCTTCTACCCTGGCTTTACATCGAGCAGTAAGCACCATCACATCTTTCTATACACTTTATTCCTGAGAAATACACCGCAAGGATCTTTATGAGTAATGGAGATTAAGCGGCAACGTAGTCTTTCAGAAAATAAGCTGATCAGTATATATACCGGACAGGAAAAAAGAACTGCAGGTTTCAGAGGAAAAATGATCTAACATGAGAAAGGAGCTATTGTAATTAAGATATATGCAGTAAAGTACTAGGAAAGAAAAGGGGAATGCAGAATTCTCGTCACACTCGTGAAAAGCAGATTCAGCCCCAAACAGTTTCTTGACTGTTTGGGGCTGAACCCCATAACTGACATTATACGCTAAATACTGCTGCAAGTACACGATCCACTAGTCCACTCTGTCAAATAAAACAGGTCTACTCTCCCCTTTTAAAATGTCACCCTGCTACTGCTAAATCCCATGTCAGCACTGCCTTCCCCTGTTGTCACAACAGCCGATGGCCCACCCGTTGCTAAGGCCGTTAACGCTCACACTGGCATTTTCCAGTCTTTGCTTTAGGTTTTGGTTATGACAAATACCAAAACTGCAGAGAAAGAACAAGAGTCCCATTCATTTTTAGGGTTTTCTGGTTAGCTTTCACACATGTAGTCCTCAAAGGGGCCATTTCTCTGCATTTTCATTGTCTGTCTGCTCCGCAATCCATGCAAAGAACGGTCTCAGCGTGGTACTTTCCATTGAGGGCTGAAAGGCTACCGGAGGGATGGGACACGTGAACATTTGGCACCAGCCTTCATCTGCACAGGCTGGCTTTGGTTAGGGGCTGCTTCCCTCACATCCCCCCGGACTAAGCCAGAGGGCCCAACGGGCAACCCGTCAGCTAACAGCAGGCCCCCAAACCCCTTGTTTGCTTTCGTGGATGCCCAGAAAGAGGCTAAAACGAGAGGAAAGAAAACACCCGGCTCAAACAAACCAAAACCACCCCACGCAGGGCCCAGGCTAAGCGCCACGGCCAGGCAGGGCCCTGAGGGGAGCAGCGCACACCCCCACCGCCCAACCGCC